CCAGCCCCTGCTAGCCTTGAAGGATTGAGTTTCAGCACTTGTCCTTGGGTTTTCTTTCAGGAGGTCATCATGCAACTGCTTCACTTTTTCACACACAATATCATCTGAAATACTGTTACCGTGTAATTGTTTTTGTTTATCCAAACAACAAGAGTTTTTCAACCTCCTCAGTAATTTGTGGCCTTTGCTTTGATATCATTTTCACGCCTTTTGCAAGGTCAGCTGCTTTAATTTTTCCCTTTGACCCAGTATCATGCTGATGTTAGATGCTGGTTTACCAGAAAGTTTTGCTATATCAACTATGTGGAGCCTATCTTCTTCATACTTTCTAATAATTTCTTTTTTAACCCTTTGAGGGTCCGTGCTGTAGATCTACGGCTATATGTTGAGGGTCCAAACCGTAGATCCACGCCATGAGCTCGGCTCACTCTGATAAGCTGTGAGCAGTAAATTTGGGCCTAGATATGAGAGAATACATCTATGTGGTATGTGTGCACCACATAAGAGAAATCCTGCAGCACACAGTGCATAATGAGAAAAAACTGAGATCGTAATTTTCGATTAAGACAGCGACTTTGCAGTGTTTTTCGTATGTTTTTTATAGTTATATTTGCGATTTCTTGGTCTCATTTAATAGAATGGAAGATATATTACAGAAATAGAGATGATTTTGATTGGTTTTAGTAATGGAAATGGGTTGAAACTGAGCTCGAAATAGCAGAAATGTTAAATTTTTGCCGATGTTCAAGAGTAAACAAATGATCCCACACATCTAATACACGCCAGCTGGTGTATACTTATGTGTACCTGTGCTTATTAAATAAATTATACACTGTTGGCATGCAGGTACACATTAAAATCACTAAGAGTGTCTTATTAGTCTTAAGGAAGCCATGTTAATAATGATAATACGCAAAAATAGTCACTCTGAGGCACATTAAATGTCGTATATAAACCTTTTCATTAATCTATCTATGATATTTTCTTTCAAAATTGTATAATAAGCATGCTATGTTACATATAAACATGATAAATACATGCCACAGTAGAATAAATTAACATAGATACGAGATGTATGTATGTATGAACCAAAACCAAACGCGTTTGTCTGCTTGTTTACATAACTCTGCATATCTCTCCTCTCTCATTTACTCATTCTTTCTCTTTCATTTATTTGTTTTACCTTGTTTATTCACCTGTCACCTGGCATTAAGATTACAAATATTTTAAGGTAAGTAATGAATGTACTGTATATGCATTTTATCGCTCTGGGGTTCTTTAAATGTTGTAGTATATTATGTGTGAGTGGGGTGGCCTGGTTGGCAACCATACCTCACACACCTGACTTCTTACAATAAATACTACTCACCTGTCACCCTACATTAAGACTACAAATATTTTAAGGTAAGTAATGACTGTACTGTGTGTGTATTTTACTTTTTATTTTTTAATGCCTAGTTGTATTGCTAACTTAATATATGTTAGTGTAAACTTGTTATATGGCAGTTATATGCATTTATAAATGGAAAAAATGACATTCTGCTTTTCGGCGATGTGTGCTTTGCGGTGGTAGCCTGGGACCTTATCTACCATATAAATGGGGCCCTGCTGTATTGACTCAGATGCATGCTGTCAACTCATGTTCAGTACACAGTCTGTGAGCATGTGGCCCGAGCTGCTTTGTCCTGTTCGCGTTGTCCATCGACAACCAAGAGCATGTACAAAAACCAGGACATTTTTTTCTCGAATTCCTCACCCGAAAATTGATTTGTTTAACAAGTAATGCAATCGACAGACAAGGTTCCACTGTACAGTGGACCCCCGAGTTTCGCGATTAATCCGTTCCAGAGAGCCTGCAGAAAGTTGAAATTCATGAAACTTGAAACCATTTTCCCCATAAGAAATAATGGAAATAAAATTAATCCGTTCCAGACACCAAAAAATATTAAAATAAAATATTTTTTTCAAATTAAATAAAGATTTATATAATGAAATCAATGAGAAATAAAGTACATACATATAAAAAATAATAATAACATTACACTTACCTTTACTGAAGACTTCTGGGTGGATGGAAGCCGGGAGGAGGGGATAGGAGAAAGGTGTACACTATTGTTTGGAAGGAGAATCTCCTTCCATTAGGACTTTAGGTAGCAAGTCCTTATCTGGGGTTACTTCCCTTCTTCTTTTAATGCCACTGGGAACAACTTGAGAGTCACTGAACCCCTGTCACGCAAAATATCTGTCCAGAGAGGTCTTTTTCTGGCGCTTCTTTAAGATTTCCCTGAAGTGGGACACAACACTGTCATTGTACATGTTGCAGATATGGCTTGTTTCAGCTTGGTCAGGGTGATACTTTTCAACAAAACTTTGCAACTCATTCCACATTCCACACGTCCTTAATCACTGAAGAAGGAACCTCCTTCACTCTCTTTTCCTCCTCCTCTGAAGCAAGTTCCTCGGCTGTGGTCTGATGCTGTTCCAGTTGAAGCTATTGCAGTTCGTCCATGGTTAGCTCTTCCCTGTGGTCCTCCACCAACTCTTCCACATCCCCGTCACTCACCTCCAACCCCATGGACTTGCCCAATGCCACAACACCTTCCATAACAGGCAGAGGGTCGACAGGGTCAGGGTCTGCCTCAGACCCTTCAAAATCCCTCTGGATCGTGTTCCTCATTTTATTTACCAAAGGGCTTGCACTAGCTTTCCTTGGGTCCGTGATGACTTATTTAGCAGTTGCAGGCACAAAAAACAATGGATTATTATGAATTGTATTGTATGAACCCACGGGGTGATGGCCACGTGTTGGTAAACACTGGCACACTGAGCGTGAATGGCGTAGGAGACTGGCTTGGTGTGCATGGTGATGGGCAGACGGGTACCGGACGGTCGCCAAAACATAAGTCTAATCATGAAACTCGAGGCCAAATTTTGCCAAAAAAAACTTGCCGAGGGTCAAATTTCACGAAACTCGATGCTGCCGAAACTCGAGGGTCCACTGTACTTACGTTATAACCAAAATTTAATTTTGTTTTGGTGTTAACTATTTACTTGTGTTATACTATATTATAAAATGTTAAAATGTCTACCATTGCATTCAAATAATCTAATGCAATAAGACATTGTCCTGAAGTTTGAAACTTGTTTTAAGGGTGCCTGAAATGCTTTGCGTAATCTGTATACAGTGGAACCTCCACTAACGAGTTTAATCCATTCCATGACCTTGCTCGCATCTGGATTTGCTCTTTTGCAGAGTCAGTTTTCCTCATTTAAATTAATTGAAATGGAATTAACTCGTTCCAGTGGAATTCCAGGCACTATAAAATATTTCAATAATTTCCCTAATATCAACTCTACAGCTTATTTATCTATCACAATTCATCTAATATGACATAATAAACACTGTAAATAACATAGAAACTTGTTATATACTCTAGAATGAATAAAATATGTCATTATGTGACAAGTTGAGGAGGCCATAACCGCTCCAACATTGTTGTGGTAAACACTGCCATCTAGTGACAGCCTTTTGAAGCTGTCTATTATTATAACTATCATATAGTACATTATTATTATACATGCATTATTATTATACATGCATTATTATTATACATGTACGTATTATTATACATGTACGTATTATTATTATACATGTACAGTATTATTATGCATGTAATATTATTATATGTATTATTATTATTATTATTATTATTATTATTATTATTATTTTATTATACTATTATTATGCATATTATTATTATTATTATTATTATTATTTTATTATACTATTATTATTATGCATATTATTATTATTATGCATATTATTATTATTATTATTGCTGCTGCTGCTGATGCTGCTGATGATGATGATGATGATGATGATGATGATGATGTGATGATGATGATGATGTGATGTGATTGATGTGATGATGTGATGATGATGATGATGATGATGATGATGATGATGATGATGATGATGATGATGATGATGATGATGATGATGATGATGATGATGATGATGATGATGATGATATGATGAGATGATGATTATGATGATGATGATGATGATATTGATGATGAATGAGATGATGATGATGATGATGATGATGATGAATGATGAATGATGAAGGAGATGATGATGATGAATGTGATGATGATGATGATGATGATGATGATGATTGATGATTATTATTATTATTTCGAATTTTAATTCATACAAAAAATAAAAGATTTATTGTTATGCAGACTACTGCATTATTGTAATGTATAAATGATGTCAATCCATTGATGACTGCATATTTGAATGGAGTACTTCTCGTCATGAAACCATTCAAAATCACGTCTATTTCTGTACTATATATTCCATTCTATCAAATGAGACCAAAAAATGAGAATACAGTCATAAAAACCATACGAAAATACCGCTAAGGGGCGGCTAATTGCTGAGAAGTGAACCTCAAATATCGAACTTTCTTCGGTCCAGAAGGCTGTTCGAGTGCCTTTACCGAATTAATTTATTCCCATCAGGAATAATGTAAATTAGATTAGTCCATTTCAGACCCTCAAAAATACACTTATAAAAGCACTTACAAAAATACATTTACATAATTGGTCGTGTTGGGAGCAGTTCGATTTTTGAGGTTCCACTGTATTTATAGTTCGATTTCTTTCATTTTTGGTGTACGTTAAGAAGCATCTTTTCATCATACATTGCCCAAGTTTCAATAAGATAGCCCAACAAACAAATGAGATCCAATTCTGTAGATCAAGAGCAAGAGCCCCTCACCAGCGTCAAGGAATCTTCTTTGAGGCCTGCTTTCTTATGGAAATTTCGCTTGTGTATGGAAGCAAAAAATCGACTGATCGACTGCTCATATTTGGAAAAACTCAAGTGTGGATGCACTCGCGAGTGGAGATTCCACTGTAATAGTAACCCATTTTTATAACAGTTTATATTGTATTTACTAGAGATAAACATTTCCATTTTGCTTTGATTACAGTTCTATCTCCAAGATACCAAGAGCAGCAATGGCACTTTCGTTAATAACCAGCGCCTCAGCAAAGGCTCTGAAGAGTCAGCACCGAGAGAGGTCTGTTCGGGGGATATTGTACAGTTTGGTGTTGATGTCATGGAGAACTCAAAAAAAGGTAGGACACAATTTGATGTCATGCAGAAATGAAAAGGAGGAGACCTATTCGGTGCAAGACAAAACAAAGAAATAAGACAGGAAATATGTTGGCATTTGAGAATACAGTATTTAAAATTTAGGGCTTGCTTCAAGTATTTTACTCTGGTAGATTAATCTCATTCTTGTTGAGTTATTGTATGTATTATTCTCTTTTTGTGGTAGCATAATATATATAAATTGCATATTGGACCTTGTATTTAATTTCTTTCCAGTGACACATGGCTGTATAGTTGCAACTTTGAAGTTATATATGCCTGATGGCCAAGAAGCAAAAGCCAGGTAACATACCACCTTAATATGTGTCCAACAGTACTGAAGTTTGGAAGTTGTGTACCTTCTAGCACTTGATTGAAATTTTGTAAATTTGTGGCATCTTGATGAAGTCATATTCTCCCCTTTATCTAATAGCATTTCTTGCTTGATTTTTGGTAAGTTGAGTCGTTGGCATCAAATAGAATACAGAAGAGTAAAAATAAATGCAAATATAAATAGTTCAGTACAGTATTTTGTATTGCCACACTTTTAAAGTTTATTATTTTTTGTTTTAAAAGAAGGTTCTTTGTTATTGCACTAATCCTCCACAATGAATGAACAACCTTGTTTTTGCAGCCCATCAACAGCAGTAGGTGGGGCAGTGACAAGTGTGACTGCTCAGGAATTATATCAGCTACGGACGTACCTGCAGGAAGCTCAGCATCGTGAACAACAAATTGAAACCAAATTGGCTACTTTACAACGTCTGGTTTCATCTACTCAGGTGAGAGAATTTTAGAAACAATATGAGTCACACCACTAGTGCTAAGGCAGGATTGTAATGTATACTATATCTGGCATGATACCAAGTGGCTTACTGTTCTTGGTGTCGTGCCAGAATGGCAGGAATTTTGAGCGAGGACTTTGAGTAGACGAATTTATTCTACCTCTAACACTATGAGTTTGTTTAATCATTAGTTACAAATATGAAAGATGGGCTCTTGGAGCTCATTTGTTTCAATAATATTTGGAAGTGGGAGCTGACCATCTGACTTGGCAAATTCCTGAATTGGGTTGCTTGAGATCCTCATGAATTTAGAATTTGCAATTCCCTACCATTTATTTTTTTACACCTTATTGGCCATTTCTCAATAAGATAGGCATCTTCAAACAAACACATTCACCATTATTCGTTCAGTTGCTGTTTAGCCGGAAGTGTACTAAAATCACAGTTCAGATGTTTCTCTGTACTGCAACATTCCCACCTTACCCTTGGAGTGCAGGCACTTCCCTCAAGTCCACCTAACTGGATTCCCTGAATCCTTGCATAAATGGTACCTTGTTTATGTATTGTGTCCAAATTTTTCAAGTATTGATAGTATTGGTAGATTTGATATTGGTCTGTAGCTGCTTGTCAGAAGGATCTCCACCTTTCTGAATTGGAATTACAATAGCTATTTTGTGAATGTTTTTAATATTATGGAGTCTGCAGTGATTGGTGATAAGTACGAAGAATTAGGACAGTTGCCAGTAAGAAAGTTATTTGCCGTTTCACTGTCTCTCACATAAATCCACGTTATTGATGCCAGTGTTACTTGTAAATCTATGTTTTAAATAAAATGCCCTAAAGTATGCTGTGAGCATAAAATTTTTCCTAGACATGATAAAATAAGTCTGTGTGGTGAGTGTGCATAATATAAAAAAAAATCCTGCCTCATGCAGTGAAGGATAGGAAAATAAATTCTCTTACCTTGTTTTTGGTTTAACCCCTTGACTGTCACAACCCCCAATCCTGAGGTGTCTCCTGGTGTTGCAAAATTTCCAAAAAAAAAAAAAAACTTTTTCTTATGAAATGATAGAGAATCTTTTCCCAATTGTAATGTCACCAAAGGGACGAAATTTTATGGAAAACTGACGGAATTATACTCTCGCGAAGTTAGCGACCTCGGCGATATTTGCAAATCGGCGATTTCGCCCACTTTGAGCCTTATTTTCTGCTAATTCCATTGTTCCAGTCGACCAGAATCATAGCTATTTCTTTAGAACTCCATTTTTTCTTGATTGAGTACAAGAAACTGCCCATTTACTGATTTCAACTACCCAATAACGTGGTCAGAAATTTGCAATTTGGCCAATTTCACGAAAATTAAAAATATGACAATTTCAAAATAAGGTCTAGAATGAACAATGCAGACATTCCTGGCTCTAAAATAACATTTTCTTTGTTCATCAGTCACGTCTCCAGGCCCCTCTGATATTACTCTTGCTTTCTATTTTGAATTTTTATTCAAACAAAAAATAGAAGATTTACTGTTATGCAGTATTACAACCCAGGATTCCAAATGGCCTGTTATCCCGGGTGCAATGGGAGCAAAATAAACACAGCAGAAAAAGTTTAGACTTATTATCCTTCACCAATTTAGAACAGCAATATGTACACTATGTACAGTGATAAGTATAGTGCACTCCACGGTAAGCAAGGCAGAAATAGAAGCCACAAGATAGCAGACCGTTCTTCAACCAGCTCTAGAATGGGAATGACAAGGGCAGACAGGAGAGTGGTACCCACATAACCTCTGCGATTGCCAAAACCATCTTCTTATTGGCTAGAACCTGGTCACTAGTTGAACGACGGGGCCCCATCATCAACTCTTAGCAACCTGGTTCGCTGGTTGGGGGAGATAGCCTGTAAATGAGGGTGTGTACATGCGCCGAATAAAGGTTATGTACTCTTTGCATGCCACACCCCCACCCCGAGAAGGCTCAGGATTAGGGTGCCACCTCCCAGTGGTAACAGTGCCGCCATGGCACAAAATAATGGGACCGCCTTTCCTCTCCACCATCCAACTCTTAGATAGAGCTCAGCTTTTCTCTTGACAAAAAGCCAAATCCTAAACTCAAAGTGAGACAGCAGTCAGTCAGGCTAGCATAGGTCCAAGATACAGGCGGACGGTAGCCCGCATCCCCTCACTAAAAAAAAAAACCACACCAGGGGATAAAAAAAAAAAAAACGTGAAAAGGGGTTACCACAAATAATATAACATCCTAACCTAAATAAATAAAAATATTAGACTCTAGATAAAGAGTCCGCCAACACATTTTCTTTGCCGGCAATATATTTTATGGAAATATTATAGGGCTGCAGCCTTAGCGTCCAGCGCATGAGCCTTGTGTTGTGGTTCTTCATGGCTTGGAGATACACTAGAGGATTGTGATCACTGTAGACTGTGACCACCTGCGATGTCTGGCCCACATAAACATCGAAATGCTCCAAAGCCAGTACCAGCGCGAGGGCTTCTTTTTCAATGGTAGAGTAAGCCCTCTGATGTGGCTGGAACTTGGCTGAAAAGTATGCTAAAGGCTGCAACTCCTCATTCTCGATTTGTAATAGTACTGCCCCAACCCCAGACTTACAAGCATCAACCTGTAATGAAAAAGGTTTGGAGAAGTCTGGAGACAAAAGAATGGGTGCAGTACACAATAATCTTTTTGCTTTATTAAAAGCAGTGTTACAATCTGAGGTCCAATTAAAGGGAACTTTGTGACTGGTAAGAGAGGTAAGAGGGGGCTACAATATCTGAGAAATTCTTACAGAATCTTCTGTAAAATCCTATCATGCCTAGGAAACGTTGAAGAGATTTCCTATCATGAGGAATTGGATAATCTTTAATAGCAAGAACTTTAGCAAGTTTAGATGCAACTTTACCACTACCTACTTCATGGCCTAGAAAAGTGACAGTGGCCTGGCCAAAGGAAGATTTAGATAAATTAACTTTTAAATGAGAACTCTGAAAGGTCTCAAAAAGAGCCTTAAGTCTAAGTAGGTGTTGATCCCAAGTATCAGACACCACAACAATATCATCTAGGTACGCTGCCGTGCCTTCAAGTCCTTTAACCCTTTGACTGTTTTGGTCGTATATATACGTCTTACAAGCCAGTGTTTCAGACGTATGTATACTCAATAATTCTAGCGGCTTCAAATCAAGCGGAAGAAAGCTGGTTGGCCCACATGTGAGAGAATGGGTCTGTGTGGTCAGTGTGCATCACATAAAAAAAATCCTGCAGCACACAGTGCGTAATGAGACAAAAAAAACTCTGATCGTTTTTTTGGATTAAAACGCCGACTTAGAGGTGTATTTTCGTATAGTATTTATCGATGTATTTACGTTTTCATGGTCTTAGGTGATAAAATGGAAAACATATTACAGAAATAGAGATGATTTTCATTACTTTGACGATGAAAACGACCTTGAAACTGAGCTCAAAGTAGCGGAAATGTTCGATTTTTACCAATGTTCAGGAGTAAACAAATTACACCACACGTCCAATACACGTCAACTGGGGAGTCTAATATTCTTTCACTAGTACACTGATATTATTTATACCATTTTTACAATAATGCAGTAGTCTGCATAACAGTAAATCTTCTAATTTTTTGTATGAATAAAAAATCAAAATAGAAAGCAATAATAATATAAGAGGGGCATAGAGATGTGACTAATGAACAGAGCATATGTTGTTTTAGTGCCAAGAATGTCTACCTTGTTTATTCTGGACCCTATTTTGAAATTGGCATCTTTTTTAGTTTGCGTGAAATTGGCCAAATTGCCAATTTCTGACCACAATATTGGGTAGTCCAAATTGGTAAATGGGAGGTTTCTTGTACTCCGCTGATAGATAAAATGGAGTTCTAAAGAAATATGAGTTTGGTCAACTGGAACAACGGAATTGGCTGAAAATAGGGCTCAAAGTCGGCGAAATCGCCGATACACATGTCGCCGAGACTGCTAACTTTGCAGGAGCGTAATTCCATGAGTTTTCGACCAAATTTCGAACTTTTGGTGTATACAGTGTATACCATCGGGAAAAGATTCTCTATCATTTCATAAGAATTTTTTTTTTTTTTTTTTTTTTTAAATTTAGCGACATAGAATGACAGTTTCAGAAAGGGCCTGAAACAGTCAAAGGGTTAATAGCCTGATGGATAAGTTTCTGGAATGAAGAGGGGGAATTTTTCATTCCGAAGGGGTAACTGTGTATTGATAATGACCTCCTGGAATTACGAAGGCAGAGATTTCCTTCGCCTTATCCGTCAAAGGTACCTGATAGTAACCTTTAAGGAGATCTAACTTGGACACAAAAGTAGCCTTACCCACAAAGTCAATTACATCATCCAGACTAGGAAGAGGGTAAGCATCTGTAATTGTGACCTCACTCACCTTGAGACAACCCAGCTGCACTATACTGACCATTTTGCTCCGTAGGTGTATCATCTTCCTCCTGCGAGAACATAGTAGTTTTTGCCCTAGCTCCCGTAGAGGGAGGAGTCTGATGTGCCATCTCTTCTTCTATAAGTTTGTCAGCAATCAGTGAACGCAGTTGCACAGCTGTGAGAGTGCGTTTGTATTTAATGCCAGTGGAACGAGCAATTTGCCAACAACGCTGTAGGGACAATTTAGGTAGGTTATGCAAAGTATATGCCGACACCAGACGTCTGACTCGTCTAGGTGGCATAAGTTATTCGCTATGTACAGTACGATTGCAGAATACCCCAAAGTAACACGTTAATTTGCAGAACACGCTTAGCTATGCACAGTACGATTGCAGAATACGCATACAAGCAAAGCCGACTGCAAAATTCTCCACACCGAACAGGCTAGTAACAACTGACACACAAAATTTGTAAAGCAATGCCAGACATCCACAGTGTTCTAGAAGATTGACCGTAGCGAAGCGAGCACACCGAACAAGCTAGTAGCGAGCTGTTGAACGATCACACAATAG